TCTAGTAATCTCCCGACAATTTTACGAAGGTTCGAGAAAGAAGTGGCGTGATACTAGTCACGTGACCTCGCTGACGCAACAATATGATTTACTACTCCAAAAGTTTTACTGCCACAGAAAATAAAATTAGGCCATCTCTATTTGCGACAACAACCCCTTACCATTCGTATTTTAAACGGTTCTTTCAGTCTCTAAGTTCAAAGTGTAAGTGGGAAGGTCATTTAACGCCAGATTAATTATTTTATAATTCATTATATCACAAATGAAAGTTTCGTGTTGTGCACAAGGCAAAATGCATATATATATAATGTTAACTGGGATTTTTCAACCTTATTTATACAATTAAATGATTACTGTATAGAATAATATTATGGTTGTGTAGCTCTTCGTTTAAAAACTTTTTCACGAAACGTGTATGGAGGTACGGCAAGGTGAAGGTTTATGTAAATAGCGCTTTTTTTTTAAGCAGAATTATATCCGGGTATTTATGTAAGAGCCAAACGTATGATAGGTAATGTGTCATTATAAAAGCGAATTGCAGTGTTTGTTTGATGTTCGAAGTTATTTGACTATTAGTATTACGTAATGGCTCGAACAAAGCAAACTGCTAGAAAATCAACAGGTGGAAAAGCTCCAAGAAAACAGTTAGCAACCAAAGCAGCAAGAAAAAGTGCTCCAGCAACTGGAGGTGTTAAAAAACCTCATCGTTATCGTCCAGGTTGGTGAAATAGAATTATAATATTTTTTTATTGGCATTTTCACTGAATTTCAGTGGAATGGCATAGTTTTGAATTGTTTTCGTATAATATTTAAATTCGTCAAATTTGACATTAAGCAAAAGTTGTTTATACAAATATCTATCTATGGTATATAAAACACTGTAAGACGACTTTTAAGTTTCTGTTTCCTTCATGTTAGGAACTGTTGCACTAAGAGAAATCAGACGGTATCAGAAATCTACAGACATGCTTATCAGAAAATTGCCCTTTCAGCGATTGGTTAGAGAAATTGCTCAAGACTTTAAGACTGATCTGAGGTTCCAGAGTTCGGCAGTCTTGGCCTTGCAAGAAGCTGCTGAAGCTTACTTGGTGGGACTTTTTGAAGACACAAATCTATGCGCTATTCATGCTAAGCGCGTGACAATTATGCCGAAAGATATCCAGTTAGCTCGACGAATTAGAGGGGAGAGAGCGTAGATGGTTTTATTACCACCTTAACAAATTATCTTTGTTTTTTTTAATACGAATCATTCCTTTAAATATTTTTTATGTGATATGAAATTAAAAGCTTTGGAACGTCACTTGGTCTTTATCTTATTCTTGTACTTTATAGTAAGATCGCTTGGCAAGGTTCACTTAAGAGGCTTAAACTTACAACTGTCTTAATTTATATTATTCAGATTATATTCAGTTTCACAATGTGATTATCACTCGAGCTTTGATTTCCCCCCCCCCCTCTAAAACATCAACAACAAAAATCCACAGGTAGTTCCTGTACAGAGTACTATTTACTACACACAATTTTCCTTGCATGTTGTTGCTTTAACTTAATATTTCAAACGCGATTGAGGAAGACTAAAGTTGCACTAAGTTTATCATAACGTATTTCTTGATACGTGTAATGCTATGAAACTAGTAACATTAAATTTGAGGTAAATGGGCGCGTACAAAAAGAAAAATACTATGGAAACTATCTACGGGAAATTAACTCCTTCACATGGTATTGAAAAGTTTATAGTGTAAAACTTTCGGAGAAAAATTTCTAAACAGTGACCCTATCTGTTACTAATTGACATTCTTCACCATGATATTTTCAAGAAGATAAGTTGGGTGTCATAAAGATTAACAATTTAACTAAAGTACTTTGAATATACAAATATTTCTGGAAGTTTGTGTGTATGCATAGTCAGAATGTTTTCATTTAGAAACGTAAAAAACCCTAAATGTACTGTAAACTCGCAAGTGTTTGAAGCGTCAGTTTATACTTAATACAGAAGGGGAAAACACGGTAAAATGTCGCAGATTAGATATTAAGAGGTCGGATTCTCCAAAACCGGTATAACTCGGTGATATAGAGTAAATCTAATGATAGATTGTTCCAAATACTTCTGTGTGTCTATGTACCTCTTTGGTGTGGAATCAAATGTAAGATTGTGCTTTATATTAATACCTACTTCTCTCAAATAATAACCAATTTGCATGCATATAGGTTGTAACGAATTTGTTATTGTGTATTTATTTGAATATCAACGTTTCTTTATATTAAATTTATGTTTAGAAACATGTATAGCCCATATAGTTAAATATTGTTACGTCTCCGTTCGTTAGTTGATTTTCCGTAACTTCGTTCCGACGAAACTTTAGCGACACAAGTCCTTTCATAAATAAAACTGGTTTATTCTTTGTGAATATAACTTTACGATACACTCAACTATAACAGTCGCACTATAACAAACTATAATTCACGTCTCACGAGCTCGACTTCAATAATACGTCTCTCTCTGACTGCAGTTCAATTACTCATTACCTACACACATTGTCCCGTCACGTTGTGACCATCCTATACATATACCAGGCTACCCTATATCTAGTAATCTCCCGACAATTCACGAAGGTTCGAGAGAAGGAGTGGCGTGATATAGTCACGTGACCTCGCTGACGCAACACTGCCCCCTCCTTAGTATTGTTCGTCCCGAACAATAGCCATTTACATTAAACCAATAACAATAACTTAATTAAATGTACAGAACTACAAACACAAAATTACAATTCAACAAAGTCTCTTAATTTTACGAGACGTATCTTCTTCCGTACTGGTCTCCGTCTCATTGGCTTCTGCTTCATCAGAAAATGTCCTGTCGTCGGTAACAGTCGCATTAGTGGTAGTAACTTCATCAAGAGCTTCACTGTTTCTCTTCTCAAACTGAGTAGAGTTTCTTCTTCAACATTGGCTTTTTCAGGTGACACGTTTTCAGCAGCGTCATTTGTTCTGTTGTCCACTTCATCCCAACAGAAATGTCCTGGACCGTGATAACTTTGGAAGCTATAACTGTGATTGTTATAACTCTTATCAATCGGAAAACTTCAGGTATTTGACCAAGAGTATTTACAAAGTTCGAACATTACAAATCATTTAACTTTAGTGGATTCTATTGGACATTAGTATTTTTTACGAAAACATTACCTAACGTCACCGGCGGAAAAATCGGCGTGTTATAAGTGAAGGACAAAGCTAGTTAGCATCCCGTTAAGCGAATCATACTTGCATCAACTCGTAATTAACTCGCTCATCGTGAACCCTCGATAAGATATCTAAGAAATTCCAGACTTAAAGGAAGACTTT